CGGTTGCATTTTTTTCAAGGTTGTGTGTGTCAGGCCATTTGACAACTAAGTTCAATAGTTTTGTTTTAAAATGGTGTTCAGATAGGTGCTTTACTTGTGCCAAATACAGTGTGCTGAAGACTAGTTAGTTCTTTTCATCTTTGGAGATGAATCATTTGGAATAGTTTACCCTGCAGTTAGGGGCAACACTAGAGTACAGAAAAGGGGTAATATATGCAGATGTGCTATTTCTTGTATTGCAAGGAAAAAGACTCAGCACTTTTCAAATTTATTCATCTGCAGACTAAACACATGAACTGGAGGTCATATACCCATAATTACACAGAAGGTTAACTAGATCAGATTTAAAATAGCCGTTTGCTTTTTGTTCTTTTATCCACACTTAAAACATTCAGCTGGCCCCACTCAGTCTCCTTGTGTATGCTCCTCTCCTCAGCATCTCTCACTGGACCCACAAAGACTCCTATAGGTCACAGCTTCTTTACTATTGCTGGACCCAGCTTGGGTTCTGGCAGCAAGCTTCCATCTAGCATTTATTCTGATTAATGGAAGACTAGGAGGTACAGCATCAGCTACGCCTGTCCATTTTTCTGGATGAGGCCGTTGGCTGAACATACGTTATGCCTCATTCTGCAGTGAAGCAATTACCAGATACGAACTCAGTGATGTTCAAGTTTGTTTTTTCAGGCATTACTGGGGGGGGGGAGAAAGAGTAGTTTGTTTCTTTGAAGGCCCTATTGTCTTGTTGAACCTGCAGCTGATTTGCTCTGAAATTTAACCTTGAAAAAGAATTTTTATGAATCAGATTCTGGACAAAAACATTTATGAGACAAACTTACATTTGCAAGCCCTATTCACCCCTCCCCCCCGAGTTGGATTTAGATTACTCCTACAGGTGACAGAGCCATTACAACTGAATTCAGCAACAACTTACACCTCCAAAATCTCTTGCATATAGAAAAGCTGTACATACCTAGCAGTTATTTTATCACTTTTCCTCCCTCCCCTCTACTTTGTCTGTCCCTTGCCCCAGCCTGCATCTCCCTGACAATCAATTTTTTTAAAAATAAGAATATTTAAAACAGAATGTATGTAAGCTGTGTATGATTACAGACAATTTTTTCAAATTGAGACTGTCAATTTACTGCTTACAAAACATGTGACATTTCTGATGACTGCAGTTTTTATAGGCTTCATTAAGATTGACGCTTTCTCTGTTCTCAGTTGCCTTTAACTTTGCTCAACTTTAATTGTTCAGGCTGAACTTGATAGTATGTTTCATCTACAATGCTTCAGCCATTTCTCAAAGTGAGATTAAAGAAAAATATGTTTTGCCTATGTTGAAACAATTCTTTCAGGTGTTCCATTGAGAAGCTCTGTACCTCCACGCTTTGGAGCAAAGGCTCAGGTGACAGGTGTCTTGCTAGTGTCTGGAATGTGCCTTTGGCTGTTCCTAGGGTGAGCAGATAGCAAATGTGAAAAACTGGGATTCCCCCCCCCTCCTTTTTTTTTTTTTTTTGAGGGGTGAAGGAGTATAGTTGCATATATAAGACAAGCCCCTAAGTCTGGTCACTCTAGCTATTCCTATGAAAAAACATCCAAAGTTGGTGCACTTGTAAGATTTGAAAAACAACAGTTTGCACATGCACTGTATAGGCTTTGTGAAGTTTGGCAGCTAAATTCACACATGATTTAATCTGCACTGAATGTGCTCCAGCCCAGGGCTTCTCCTGCAACTGCTGCTCCCAGCTGTAGTGACACCAGAACTGACAGCAGGGAGATTCTCTCCTGTGCTTACTGCCAACCCCCACCACTTTGGCACCCAAGCAACAGGGAGGAGGAAACCTCCTGTCCCTAATTCAGAGGGGATGAGAGCCTGTAGGATAGGGATCACTAGTGGGACAGGCTGGACTGGGCTGAGGCAAAATAGCTAGCCATTAGAGAAGACTTGCCTACCGAGCCTGGAATACAACCCAAAATAACCAATAGCCAACATTCCTCTGCTGTCAGCAAATCTCTCTGAAACCCACTGGCAAAAAAATCCCGTCCCTCTCTAATGTTGTTAGGAAAACCCACTGCTGCTATTAGTTACTCCATTAGCTGAAGAGGTCTGCATGGTGGATCTAAATTAGGGATTCTCAAACTTCATTGCACCATGACCCCCTTCTGACAATAAAAATTACTACATGACCCAGGAGGGGGGACCCAAGCCTGAGCTGCCCGAGCCCCACCACCCCAGGGTCGGGGCTCCCAAAGCCAAAGCCCAAGGGCTTCAGCCCCAGGCAGGGGACCTGTAACCTGAGCCCCAATGCCCCGGGCTGAAGCATTGGGGCTTTGGCTTCAGCCCCGGGCAGTGGGGCTCGGGCTTTGGCCCTGGGCCCCAACAAGTCTAAGCCAGTCCTGGCAACCCCATTAAAACAGGATTGTGACCCACTTTGGGGTCCCGACCCACAGTCTGAGACCCGCTAATCTAAATGTTCCAAACCTGCTGATGAATAACATGGTTGTCAATATAATCTCACATGATGGAATTTGCTTTTTTGAAAAGGTAGGAAAATACACACACAAAAGACTGTGTTGAAAGAACATTAAGGTTGCAAAGTCACACACTCAGAAGTTCAGATATACCAGAATTAAGGTTGCCTGTGCAATCTTAATTTGGCCCCCTTGTGCAGATGCATAAATTGGAGTTATATAGCAGAGGTGACCAAACTGTGGCTCATGAGCCACATGCGGCTCTTTTACAGTTAAAATGTGGCTTGCGAAGCCTCCCCCCCGATTCTCCGCCTATCAGAGGGGGAGGGGGAGCTTGGGGCTTCTGCCCTGGCGCAGGGCAGTGGGGCTAGTTGCTTCTGCTAGAGAGGACTGGTGCCTGCGGGGCGGGATGGAGGGGGGGAGCATGTACAATTTAAAGGTTTGCCCCTCCCCCAACAGCTTGAGTCACAACCCCCTCTTACCATCAGAGGCCCCTCCCTGCAGCTCCCAAGTGTTAGCTTTGGTGGAGAGCAAACAGCGGGGAGCTGCAGGAAGAGGCCACAGCCGTTAGTTCCCTGGGGAGAGGCAGCAGCTCCCCCTCCCCCGCCTGCAGCTCCCAGCTGTTTGCCACTGCCTCTCCCCACAGCCACAGCTCCCAGCTTGCTGGCTCCAGCAACTGCAGTGCAGAGGTGGGCCCTGAGGCATCATGTGACCAAGCAGGGTCAGCAAACCTGGCAAAAATCTGGGATGGCACGTGACTCCATGTGCCCCCTCACGCGTCACCTCTGGTTCTGCCCAATGGGGACGGGAGTCTCAGGGCTTCAGCCCGGAGCCCCGGCAGGTGCCCCAGCTCTGGAACTTCTGAAGATTGCCGTATGCGACTCAGAGGATCAGTAAGTTTGGCCACCTCTCTTATATAGTCTTTTATTACATGATCAAATACTAATTTTTCCACAGGACCCCTGCCTCATTCAGTCGATAAAACGGACTGATTTGCAATGAATGGTAATAATTAAAACATGTTGACCTGCAGCTAAATATAGCCTTTCCACTAAATCTGGCGGAGGTTTCTTTGCTAACAAGGAAGATATAGTGTATCTATATTCATTTGATTAAGCAATTATATAACAACTTACATTTATGCAGATTCTCAAAGTTTACATTTTTATGATGTTAGAAAACAGTGAATGATTCATTTCTTATTTACTAATTATTTTGTGTTGAGCTCTATTTGGATGGAAATTCAAATTCAATTAAAAGACACCAAAACAGCATTTTATTTAATTTATCTTAAAAGTGCTGGATACACAAGAAAATAGTTTTGCGGTTTATCTAAGCATGTTTGGCATTTAAATTAACTATCTATTAAACAAAGCAAGTATCTGTACTTAGTGATCCAAATGGATTGTTTCTGGACACCATGTGTTACCTACGTTTTAGAACTACTAGATCTCACCCTCTCATACCTACTTTTTAATCTATAACGAAAAACCAGGAAAGCTTGTTTTCATCTTCAAACTCCCAAGTGGTTTCTTAGCTTTGAATTAGTGATTGAACTGAACTAGCTGAATAAACTGAAATCAAGAAAATAGTCCCTCTGTATCTGCAGAAATGGCTCCTGATGTCAATAGCTGGTTTAGCACTTTAAACTCTGGTTCCAGGTGCTTAGCCAGTAGCCGACATCAGTTCAGTGGTCTGACTTTGTTTAAAACTTGGCAGGCAAAAATGTACTAATTATTATTTTTTATTCAATTTAAAGAAGTTTAGGTTTTAACATAGGTTAATTCCAAGTTTAATTTTAAATAGGTTTATTTTAAAAACAAACCTGTATTTAATTTAAACTTTAAAAAATCTGTAGGTTTTTCCTAAAAAAACATCCATTTTGTCCACACTGGAAGATAGTAAGTGCCCATTCCATGAGAAAACATTTACTTCAACTTCATTCTGTTATGTCAGAATGATAAATGATCCCTTTTAAAAATTGAAGATTGCGATTACTGAGCTGACAGGCTCTTTCATCGAACAGTGAAATTTCTTATAAGTATTCAGGCATAAGTTGGAGTCAATTTATGGGTTTTCATATAACTAATTCTGCCCACATTGTGCGCCCATCTAGCATCATTCTTCATTTAAAGCCCTACGCGTTTTCTCTGAAGTTGCTGGCAATTTCTAAAGCAATACTTGAGACTCCACTACTGAAATGCTTGCTAGTAGTTGCCAAAGAACTATTCATTATCTGTATGCTGTACTTTCACCAATACTGACATGTAGTCTAATGGACAGGATACTGGGAGACTTGGAGCCAGGAGACCTGGATTCTACCATAGGTCTGGTAAAGTCACATCGCCTCTATGTCTATTTCCCCTCTCAACCTTTCTTCAGATTCTAAACTTTTTGGAGCACAGACTCTCTCACTATGCATTTACACAGAAACATGGTCCTGATTTTGGTCAGAGACTGTAAACGTTTCCATAAAATCCAACAGCTGTGCAAAATAAACTGTTTTTGCAAGTAACGTTTCTTACCATACAGTTCATGGCAAAGTGATTGTGCTGCGTCTGCAGCTCCATAGCGTGGGGGTGACTGGTTCCAATCTCTGTGTAACTATTCAGAAACAGACCTTTGTTGTGTGTGATCCAGTCAAACATCTACAAGAAAAATAACGAGATCACTCATTTACAATGCAATGACAAGCTATAAACAAGGAACATGTGATTTCGCATTTTGAGAGAGAGACACAGACACTACAGTAATGAAGCCTGAAGTTGCAGTTCATTTTTGCTACTTTGTTAATTTCAGTGTTAACCATCTCACAGTTTTCTCAAACGTTCTTTTTGGGCTGAAAGCACTGTGCTAGATCTCAGCCCAAAGATTGTCTTCACCCCATACTCTAGTTGCAGCAAAATCTGCTCCATTAAATTAGGGCCAGAGAAAAAAATCTTTACTTGAAGTGTGAAGGTATTGCACAGGTAATGCACAAATAAAGACAGCATTATAAAGCATCTACATTTTCATGTTGCTAATCTTCTCAATGCTGGCTTGCTAAATTAAAAAAAAAAATTAAGACAAGCTATTAAAAACCTAATTGTATAACTGCTCAAAAATATAATTTTAGTTATGTAATTGCCTGAATTCCTACAGCAGTGCAGCTTAAAGCCTATGCAATTATACAAAATATATATGTTCAAGTACACTATCACAACTTCCTCCATTTTTGTCTTAAATACAATAGTCACAAAATCCTACATTATGACAATGCCAAGGTTTTTAAATTCAACATAAATGCAGGAAATGCAAGTTTCCCAACCACCATCTAAGTGAGAACTCAGCGCAACTGATGTACCTTGAATTATTGGCTACATTGTTAAGCGTGACTTCAAATACAGCATTCAACATGTAGATGAGTTAATGTTGTATTTCCTTCACTTTTTAATTGCCCGTTTTCTGTGTGTGTGGATTAAACAGAATTAACCTTCACCTAGATTTTTTGCATGCAATGTATTATATATTTGATGCTGGGGCGCCATTCAGTTTTTTGCCGGTGGAAGGTGAAGCCCTACAGAGAACAAGCAGCACGGCAAAACAGATGCAGAGCTTGATTCCCTGCTGTGATCATCAACTCCTCCGTAATTCTAAACTGAAGAGACCACCTGCTCTCTGAGCTGGGTGAAAAGGATTCCTTGATGAAAGAACACAGCGAGGAACCAAAAGTGCTGCCAAGTTCAAAATATCAGCCTTAATATACGTAGGTTACCAAAGCAACACTAGTAACTTCAGTTCTCCATTCCTCCATGAGCTGGGAACACAGAATATATTATAAGTAGCCGGGCTGAATGTCAGGAACTAGGAGCAGGAAAAGCCAAGAGTGTGACAGCTTCAATGTGAGGGCAGTCCAGACATACCTGAGCAAAGAGGTTGAAAGTTTAGAAGAAAATCTCAGGTCTGCGTGACCCACGCCTGCAGACTTGGTGTTTCTAAGCCTGCGCTTGGGCATCCACACTGTATTGGAAACCCAGACCTTACAACCATGCTGGCACATCCAAACTGCTTTACGCAGACCCAAGTCAGAACTTCAGCTTCTCTGGGTGTTTAGCATCATATCCCAGAGTTCCTAGCTCTCTGGCTAGCTGAAGCTGCTCTGTGCTTGGTTATGGGAGAACCTGTCTGTGGAAGTTGACAGGAAGTATTTTGCATGGTTTTAGCCCACCAACACATCCAGCCAAGCCATTTTGAGTCCACATGCTCCCAGCAGTCAGAGCCATCAACATGGATTCCGACTTGGCGGGAAAACTTTTCCATCTCAGGCTGCCAGTCCTAGTTCACGAATCAGGCAGAGCATCTGCAAGATGCTGGTGGACACTTCAGCGGCAGTTTCTGAGCTGCCAAAGGCACCTTTCAGAAGGGGGTACTGACGTGCCAGCCACGACCCAGCTGATGCTGCTCATGTCTGTTACCTTAGCCACAGATTCCCTCTATGTTGACCAGCACTTCTGGAGCAGGGCCACAGCACAGATTGGGGGATCACATCATCATACAGACTTGGGGTGACTAGTAAAGCGCAGTCCTTTCGCATGAAGAAACAGATGTTCCTGGAGATATTCAATCAGCTTGCCCCATCCTCCAGTGCCAGTACACCCACATGAGGGCAGCCAGGCCAGTCCAGAAGCAGGTCACCATAGCCATCTGGAAGCTAGTACCCCAGCCTGCTATAGGTCTATGGCTAACCAGTTTAGAATTGGCAAATCACTGTGCGAGTTGTTGTGGCAGAGATTTGAGAGATGATCAGGACTGTGAAGTTCGGAAAGGTGGTAGGTTACTGCACAGTGTCTGGGAGGACAAGGGGAAACCTCTTCTAGTAGACTCAGGACACTCCTGGATTTCTGAACTGGCATACACAGCCAGTGTATCTGTCATAACTGGTGCTGGATCCAGATGTCCCACAGAAATTAGGGATGCTTTGTGTCCCCACATACCAGGTTTGCATGATGCCATGCATAAGGGGGAATGAAGTGTTATTTTAAGTCATGCTCTGTATGGGTGAAAGGCAGCTGTGGGATTTTTTTTTTCTTTTTCTTTTTTAATTGTGTTGGTAATATGAATTCTGGAAACACTTTCATGAAATGTATGGAGATGTAATACATTTTATGAATATTGGCCAGGTACTTCAGTTCAATTTATGGATTACTCTGAAGTTTGTAAATTTTATGAAATTTACTGAGAATGGGCATGTGATGACCTTTATTAACGTTTGCCACTTAAGATTACATATAATAAAACTTGAATTCCACACAAGGCTACAGTAGCAAGACTTTATTTAATACATGTATTAAAATACCAATATAAGAACCAGAAAAGCAGACCAGCTGCCCTGAAAACATACAACACAATAACCAAGTTCTGTGCCAGAACAGTGAAAGGTGCATGTTACCAAATGACATGGCCAACTATTCCTGGGTGTCCCCTGCTTGACTTTCTGGTGCATTTTATACCTGTGGGCTGCAACTGGACTTGAATGGATGAATCCAGAGGGTACATCTGCCCATTCCATGTGCTACTGTTCATTGCCTGTGACATGATCCAGCCAACTGCTGAACTGCTACACAGTCTGCAGGACACAATAGTGTGGAGGGAATTCAGGGCATGGGGCTAAAGCTGGCAGTGGCAGTAGAACCTGCAGTGTCGTAGCCATGAGTAAAAGTAATAGCTCGAACTGCTCCTTCTGCTGCACTCTGTCTTCCTCCTTCAACCTGCAGGCATGCTCCATGAATCTCTCTGCCAATCCCTGCTCACGCTGTGCAGCGTCTCTCTCTTTCCACTCTTCTCTCATCCTTATCCTTCTGATATTTCATTGGGCACTTCTGGAACTCTATCTGCTGATTCATTCTATCTAGAATCTCTCCCACCAGCTCATCTCAGATTTTCTGCTTGCCCGCCCACTCCCCCAGGCTCCTAGTGCCGTGTATTTGCCCTGCAGAGGTGAAAGAGTCTCAAAGGGGGGTGGGAGAGCACATCATTGTCCAGTCATTAAAAATTATATTTTCCACTTTATCAAAGGGGCTACTTTAATTCAAGGTCAAAAGATGTTACTTTTCAGCAATGGACTGTATTTTATTCACACAAAAAACATTGGCCATTGAAAATCTCCTCCAGAGCAGCACTGAAAGCCATGGACCAAATTACACATTGTCGTTTTGTTTGGACTCATAATAGCCAGCTTTTTGGGGGACTCAGTTTACAGAACAGTATGGGCATGGCTAATTTATAAGGTGCACTGTATTAGAGGGGAAGAGTATGTAAGGTTAATTGTGGGGCCCCAATCCATCCTTATAACAGCCATTAACTAGTAAGAATTTTATGATAACCGCTTAACTTTCTTCCTCATTTTACGGTATCCATTTTGAATCCCAAGTGGTGGTGGGAGGAAAGCGGGGGGTGCTAAGGGAATGGCGTGGGCTCTGCCATGAACAGAAGCACGTCCAGACCCTGGCTGGTATTCATAACGTAATAGACATTCCTCCCTTCCGTATGTTAATGGACATGGCGGCAGAAACTTACCAGGGTCTGGCTTCGGCGTTTGCTCTGATGCCAATTCTAGAGTGCACTGCTCCCAAGGGCTGTCCCCAAACAGCTCCTCTGAGTAAGGACCCAGGATATGCTGTATCTATTCCAGTGGCATAGCCTCTTCAGTTACCGGCCTCAGCACCAGGGTCACTTCTTGCCATTCATCCAGCTCTCGTCCAGCGGTGCCTCTGATTGGGGGGGTTATAGGGGCACCATCCCCACTCAGCACAGTCATGCACCATTGTGTGCTCAGTGCACACTACAGTTCCCAGTACCCGGATGAATTTCTCATAAAAGAGGCAGGAAGACAGGGAGTTTCCAAAAGGTTCCCTTGACATCCTTGAATCTGCAGTACTTGGTCTTCAGACACTGGCCCAAGTCCAGAAGAGTTCCTGGCCTAGTCAGACTAATTTCTGTGTGGACTGAAAGGGGTTTGGGCTTAAACCTGATTCAGAGTCTAAGCTTCATGTGCTGTGAATACATACTCTTACGGCAGTAGTTCTCAACCCACGGCCCAATCAGCACACAGCTGCGGCCCATGTGACATGCTCAGGGTCATACAGGAAGTATATATATATTGTGTGGATGAGGCCCACATAACACAGAGAGCTGCATATGTGGCCCACAATGGTAAATAGGTTGAGAACCACGGTCTTAAGGTCTTATCTGGACTAGAATAAAAAGGTGTGTGTATTAGAACATACTAGCTAGCACAGACAAGTTTTATAAGTTTAGCACGATGCCTTTAAAACTTGCTGAGCTGCTTAGCACGTGTTAGCTAATTAATACCCACACCTTTTTTCCTAGTTTAGACAAGAACCAAGAAACATTAACCATCACAGAGCACGGCTACCCATATAAGCAAATCCCAGAGGTGAACAATCTCAGCTTTATCAACTCATAACCCACCTATTCCAGTCATTCGGAGATAGAAAAAAGGGAAGAGATTTTTTTTCTGAGAGACTGAAAAGACAAAACTCTGAGTGATTGGCATAAACCTTACAACCAAAACTTTTAAGCAGGAGTAACAATATGAATTAGGAGTTTTTCAGGTAAGACAATAAGGAAAATAGTTGTCAAGTGCCATATTTAGGTGCCTTAAACATTAACTCTTCCTTCATATGCTTTCTGTACAAAATTATCATAGCAAGAAATTTGCAGCTTTGTAGGCTTTCAATCCCTGCCAGAGTAACTGAATTAACACATTTCTGAGGAGATATGGGGCATCATGAATGCTGGATGACAGAGAGCATTAAAACTTGGACAGATTTTTTCTGTGCGTGTGTTTTTGAGCTAATGTAACCGAAGTTAAGAGTTTTCCAACCACTATGTGCACCATTTATTTTTTTTCAATCCCTGCACGGCAGAAACAGCTTCTATTTACTTTTTTGATAATTTTCCTTTGGTCACAGATCATAAGTAGCAGCATCTCCAAGCGAAATTATAATCTGAGCATTTTAGAAAATGGGCCAAAACCCACTCTTCAAGTGTTTTGGCAGTCTAATTTCAGCCTCTCTTAGGAAGAAGCTACCATCTTTCTAGAAAGCTTCGTGATCAAATATACAGTTGTCATCAGTTTCTAGCTATGTCACATCTTCTGATGCAGAACTGCTTTTACTCTAATGCACATGTAACTCTTTACCACTTACCAAACAAACCCTGGTAATACTCTGAACACAAATGTGAAGTGACTGTTCTATCTATGGCCCTTCATTAGGCTTCCCCACAACTAGGGTGTGCACTCTTTTCAAAAGAGATTATCAACCACTAAAAATGAATCTCAGGAAATTAGACAGCACATCCGTCTTGCCCAGTAATTAACACAGGACTCTTAAACATGTCAATGTAGGCATATTTTTCCCCCTCCTGTAGTTCATGAGAGTTTAACTCATTCTGACCACTTACAGACTGAGCAAGTGTCACTCAACTAGAGACTGAGATGATGCATCACTGCATTCACCCTGCTGCAGCAGAGGGACATTGCTCTTTAACAGTATTTTGTGTCAGCCAAAATACCATTCTAAAATAAACTTACTGCAACTGAAGTGTCTGTGTGTCACTCAAAACCCAAATCCCTGTCAGTTAATCAAGTTCACTGAAACACCAATTATCCATATTAGAAATCGAGTTCAGAAAATACTAAAAGCCGCTTTGAATAAAACAGTCCCCGCTAGCTCAATGGAAAGTTGTACTTAGTAGTTCTTAGAGAATGTTTTGCAGCTTTCACTGTCATTTTTTTTTTTTTTTTTTAAATCAGACAAGACCAGCCTTAGTACCTTGGAGGTGATGGTGCATGTTTGTTTCCCCTCCACCCCACAGCCCTTTTACCTTTTCAGCATCTTGCTCAAACAGCCTGAGCTGAAAACATTGGTCCAGTTTCAACTTCCGCACATGCCACATCTGATGCAGATGCTGCCGAGTTGAGTGCAGCCGGTCCAACATGGTGGATACTTTGGGTAAAAGGTTCTGCAAGTCTGCGTTCCCTGACCCAGAGTTCTTTTTGGGGAAACTTTCACTGCTCTGTATCCGCTGGAGCAGCTTTTGTCCTTCCAAGTCAAGGTCCTCAATAGGGGCCTTAATGACTTTCTTCTTCAATTGTGAATGCTCCTCAATCATATTTCGAGCACCCTCCAAGTCCTGAGGCAATTCCTTTTTAGCCAATATATCCTGCAGTTCCTCCAGTCTGGACAGCATGTGGGTTGCACTGCTTATGTAGTCCTCAAAGGCAACTCTGATTTCAATCCATTCCTCATGGTTATACTCCAAACAGCCATCAAATTCTGGAGTTAGTTGAGAGGGGTCAACTACTTTGGTAAGGCCTTCCAGAGATACCATGTTAGTCTAAAACACAATGAAGAATATTGCAATCACAAATCTGATGCATTTGGAAAATACAGTGAAAATACAGTTCAAAGCATCTAGTTAATATTTTCTGTGCTTGTATTTTGAACAATATATAACATTAAAAACAACCAAGGCAACACACACTGCTTTATTTACAAAGCATATGTGGCCTTAGAAACCACAAATCTAGGCAGTGGAGCCTCTTGCTTTCCATATATTTCCATTTCAAGGGGAGCACTTAGGTCAGCTTTGGAAATCCTACCCCCTGGGAGGCAAGATACTAAATCCTGCAGAAACCCAGTCTCTTGTTCACAATGGGTTTTTATAGCTAACTTTTGTTTTTAAGTAGTACGATTTAAAAATGTCTCATGTTTACATTTATCATCTCATCATGCTTCGTGAGAAACAGCTACACTCCTTTTGGCGACTGTTTTGGTTGAAGTTTTGAAGTACCCATTGCAGAGTGGGAGGACAAGACCACAGGCTGGGTGGCGGCTTTCCTTTGCATGTCATACTGGTATTAACAGTTACCACTACCTTGGCTAAGTGGAAAAATCTCTTCCCTTCATAGGAAGAGGCCAAGATCTTTTTCATGAATTTAACAGAGATTCCTTTAACATGAGACTAAAAATAGACCCACACTTTTTGCAGTCCTGCAGCTTGATTTAGATCTCCACCCATCCAAACTCCAAGGTTCAGCTCAACTATTTTTAATAAAAACCGGAGCTAGTTGGACCAAAACTCCCCATGAACTAAGCAGTAAGCCTACATTTTTCTATCTTGCTATTACCTCAAATTCAAACTTAGAGCTGCCGAAGTTAGTCCTCTGTTTTTGCCAGAAGTTGTCCGGCTTGATTATCAGTGCAACATGAATACAACAGGGAAAGGATTCCTGTAAAATCTTCAGCAGAGGCTTAATAGAGTCCCATTTAGATCCACGCATGTCTACAATCACTGTGAATCCTCGTTTACAAACTTCTTCACTGGGGGGAGAAAGAAAAGAAAAGAAAATGTTCATATGCACTATTACAAGTTAAAGGCCAAATTAGGCGTCTCTTGTTCCATCACAATTCTTGGTAATTCAGTTACCTGTGTAACAGGAGCAGGATTTGGCCTAAATGCTTACAATCAGACGAACTAACCAGGTCTAGAACTACACCCTGGTAAAGGAAACACAAAACTTGCTCTTAGTCAAGATTAGTAGTTCATTTCCAAGCTCTCTATGTAGTTATTTTTCAGCCTTGTTGTGAATCAGCAGAGCAGCAACCATATTCACAAGCTGTTTTTCAATGCTGTACTAGTATCATTCATTTTGTATACCTATATTTTATTCTCTCACGCTGTACCCCATGGAAGGATACACAGTCCATTTTAGCAGCAAAATGCATTAATTAATACCTGATTTTTTTATCCTTTCTGCACATCAATGACATACCTCTTCGTGTCTGGAGAGTGGGGGTACTCTAGTACTCAACTTTGCTATGCAAATTAACTGGATGAGTCTCAAACAAAAATGCATGAAGACAGTTAAATAGGTATCTATGAAAGATGTGTCCAGTGTTAAACATTAGCAGTGCTGTGGTCCCAAGGTCAAATAATCCAGACTGACCAACCTAAAAGTTAAGTATAATCTAAAAATAGCGGATGAAAAAGTTTTCCAGGCTGCTGAGGAAAAAAGTGAAGTCTACCCATTGGTAAAACGTGAGCTCAGTTTTACTGGCTGAGCAGAAAGCAGCCCTACACTCTATGGCACTGGAAAGTCCTGATTTCCACGACAATCACCGTGTTGTCATTAATGACAATCTTGGGGTGAGGGGTTATGGCACTACAGAGTTTCTTCCGCCAGCAGCATCAAATGGGCACTCTATGGGACTATTTTAGTGGAAATCAGGGTACTGGAAGCCCATGCCCCATTCCTCCCCCAACCCATCTGGGACATCCCACTCTGGCCAGGCACCTCATTCCTCCCCATATACGGAGTGACCCAATGGCCAAATGACAAACTCATTGTCATAATGACCATAGTCATTTGGCCAAAGAGCCTCTATAGGCTGGTAGCTGGGTCTCCCAAAGCCAGTGGTCTAAAAGTTGTAAGGAGGGTGCTACGACCTCCACCCCCAAATGCCTATTTGTGACTCTAGCCCTTTACAGATGTCAGAATAAAAATCCATTTCAGGCCAAACAAACATTTTCATTTAAATGCTTCCCCGTACTCTAATTTTTTGATTCATTGACATTTTCTGCAATTTTTGGATTCAGTTTGGGTCAAACTTTTTATTATTTATTATTATTATTGTTATTGTTATTGTTATTGTTTTAGAACTGGCAGCGAACCAGGAAAATCCATTATTCACCTAGCTCTATGTACAATAGTTATGTGCTCTTATTTTTAGTCTGGAAAGAAACTGCAGCAAACTTTGAAAGCACATCACCAAATCAATGAGACTACGTGAGTGAATTTGGACCACTTGAATGACCAAGATTTGAAACATTGAGCCCTAAAAAATAATTTATTCAGAGTGGGGTCAAAAAAGGTCAAGTATTTTAAAATATGTTTGTTTGTGACTCAACTAACTACATTCTAGAGAATTTGTTCATCAATTTTTGTGCAGCAAAGCAGCAGCTTGATTTAATCCTTACCTTTTACATTTTTAAAATGTAAAAGCATTAAAATAAGGCTACGGCTCAGATCACCTTTAGGTTTATTAATTTCACATCATATTTTCTCTCAATTTAAGTTTTCTAAAGAACAGTCAAACTGAATGCTGGTGTGAAACCAATCTGCTCAGAGAAAAAAAATTAGACACAAATGTATCCATATGTATTAGCCCTGAACAAAAGCAACATAAAAATTGCTGTAGTGGAATTCTCAAAGAGTGAATTTATGACAAGATTTTCAAAAGCATCTAGTTAATTGAGAGTACAAGTCCCAATGACTTTCAACGGAACTTGTGCTCCTGATTCATTTTTGAAAACTAAGCCTTAACCCAGTAGTTGTTCCCTGGCAGTGGTCTACTCAGAAAAAGATAAAACCATGCTGCAGTTGGACTTTAACTGGGGTGATAGCTAAGAAAAGACAATACCGCCCAGGCTTAGCCAGAGATCTGCTTATACCTGAAGCACTGCTATTGTTACCCATTTTAATAGATATATCCTAGCACAGTGGCCTTTCACTTGCTGCTGTAAGTACACAGAGGGAACAGGGGAGGTCACTGCTTCTCTATTTTGCACTTGTTCCTCCTTCTCCTCCACCCTGAATAGGAAAGGCATTGCTCCCAGCTACAAGGGCTAGGGGAGCCCCCCTGCCATTAACTGACAATGGATCCAAGGCTCTAAAACTGACCTTCCTCTCCAGCAAAATCTTCTGTTTCGCACCTTAACGGTCCTTCTACTTAGTGGCTGCAATAGCTACCTTCCGCTTCAGCTTACTCCCTCGGAACTCTAGCCAGTACCACTTTGCCCCTTCCCTATCAAATCCTGCTGAGAGTCTATGGCTTTCCTCATGACTTGTTTTGGGAAGGGACAGGTGGTGGGGCAAAGATAACAGATCTCTTCTGCTCACTTGGAGCCCAACTCAGGTGTAGCACCGGCAGCCGTTTCCAGCCCTGAACACATTCATGAATACAAGCCTCCAACACCTTTCTATTCCCTTGAGATAATTAAATCACGGAGGGTGAAATCTCTTGTCCATTAAAGCTAGTAGCTTTGCCACACCTATTCAGTTCCCAGAACCCCCTGCCATTGTGTAAACCACTTAAAACACACCAATAGCAAAGCATGTGAACTACCTCAAATTCAAAAAATATTGTGTAACAGACAAGGAACAGCCAGTCAGAAATAGGTAAGAGTCACATAATACAGGGATTCTCCCAAAAGACTCAGGTGACATTAGGAAAGCATGCGTTGGAGGATTGTTTAGCCCCCTACCATATCATAAGTTACAGTGGCTTGTTTACACAAACTTGTGCCAAAACAAAGGAAATCAGTTTTAATGCACACTTTTTGGGGGTCTGTTTTCAGTTTGTGTATAAGCCAGCCCTTACTATCTGTAAGAGACAGCTCCTTTTTACCACTTTGGCAGTTTAAAAGTGCTGTACAGCCAGACAGTTCAGCCATCAGGGGTAACACTAGTTTAACGAGACTTCCCTGGATGTAGAAACTATTTCTCAATTCCTTCTTGGAACCCCTGCCATAGGAGGCCTTGCCAGAGAGAAGGTCTTGTGGCTTTGTACTACTGCCTTCCAGCTAGTCTCAGCTATTAGAACCACTCCTTCAGGTCAGACTGCTGAGGTGATGAAAGCAGCCTTCGGGCTAATTTAACTCACACCAGAGTTGGCAGGCCTTAGCTGGACCCAGAATAAAGGGCATACAGTAGTCATCTCTGTCCCCACTCTGTCCTGCACTGAGAATAGCTCAGCTGAAGCAGAGGTTGGGGCAGATACTTTTCTTTAATACCAGCTCCAATTTGTGTATTTTTGAAGGTGTTTTTCGTTGTGTTTCAGAGCATATAAGATGTCCAAGTTACCATGGTATACTACGTTATTATTCAAACAGGTATTCTTTATAGTTTTACATATTGCTTTCTTCTTAGGCCTTGCATCAACAAGTTTAGTTAGTCAATTAATTGTAACTGTGCTAGTTCAAGACCTGTTAGCAACTACGGTAGACTTCAATACCACTAAAATGTGTTAACAGATCATGGTCAACCCGAGGCGGCCGAGGTGTTCAATGCTATCAACACTAGGTACTAACGTGGTTTTTAAATCAACTTTTTCCTCTACTTTTGACAAGTCTTTTGAGTGATGTTCTCATTATTTCAGAATGCAAGCACCCTTGTATGACCATCTAGACCACTGCCTACACCCAGCTGACATGCAGCAGCCAGTCTGCCAGCAATCCACATTCCACAGGCAGCCCAATTTGCTGTTAAGTCTTTTTCTAAGCAGCTTAGGGCATGGCTACACTTGCGACTTAGAGCGCATTAAAGCAGACCCGGGCGCCCTAACTCATGACCCGTCCACACTGGCAAGGCACTTAGAGCGCCTGGACTCTGCAGCTGGAGCGCTCCTGGTAATCCACCTCCACGAGAAGCATAACACTTGGTGCGCCTCGGCTGAAATGCCTGGGCGTCAGTGTGAATGAGGTGTTGCATTACTGCGCTCTGATCGGCCTCCGGAAATGTCCCATAATCCCCTTAAGTCAAGTGGCCACTCTTGTCATTGTTTTGGAATCGCTGCAGGAATGCGGATATGCCCTTTCAAAGCTCTGTTTCTAACAGCCGGCATGCTTATCTGCTCCGGGACAAAGCAAACCACTACTGTGGAAAGCTGTGAGAGAGAGAGAGAGAGAGAGAGAGAGAGAGAGAGGGGGGGGGAGGGGGGGGTGCGGCTGTGTGTACTTACAAGACAGCATGCTGAGACGCTCTCCCCCAACAACCCACCACTCTCCCCCCCCCGAACCCCCACACATTCCCCCTCACCCCCCCCCCCCCCCCCCCATTTGAAAAGCATGTTGCAGCCACTTGCATGCTGGGATAGCTACCGCAATACACTGCTCTCTGTGGCCGTTGCAAGAGCTGCTAATGTGGACACGCCAGTGCGCTTGAATCTGACAGTGTGGACACACTGCAGTGCTTTCCCTACTGCGGTCTCCAAGGGCTGGTTTAACTCACAGCACTCTACATCTGCAAGTGTAGCCATGACCTTAAAAACAGTGAGGGGCGTGAACTTGCATTGCTCCTTAACCCATTTCATTTCATAACCGGGAAAGATGCTGCAACACTAACCAACAGTTTCACTAACCAACAGTGTAAAGTTTGAAAGCTTAACAAGTGATCGGTTCTTACCTAGGGATACAAGCTAGGTATGATATTAGTCTCCTAAGGTCCTCTTGTCGTATTCTATCATGATTGCTGCGAGCTGGAAATGTTAGAATGGGGCCTCCACGTTTATCTCTGCCACCTGAAAAACAAGATTTGTGATAAATGCCAAAAGCATACTATACAACACAACAAACCAACAAGAGTCCCTGCCTTGGAGAGTTTACAATCAGACTGCACTTAGAAAAGAACTAAGGCCTCTTTCTAATAGGTGTGCATGTCCACTTGGAAAGAAAATGTGATTTAAAATTTACTAAACAGAACCACCCAAGGCTGTGGGTCAAAAGACCATTTTAATTAAATAACAAATTGTTGGGGTCAGGACGACCAACACCATGCTCCTCTATTTTCATCACTGCAAGCCAATGATGTGCCTGATCCCCTGGCAGCTCACAGGATGTGAATGTCAGGGAATCATCCACACAACCTTACCTACTGCTCACAGCTTGGTGTATTTACTTATGGGGGGAGGGGAGATTATCAGCACCTAATGTGTGCTTCTCAGAGAATTTACGATAGCTGGCTTTGTGTAACTGATTCTTCTAAAGCCAAAAACCAGTTTAAAAATTTCCCAAAAGACACACTCAGGGCATGGCTACACTTGCGAGTTAGAGCGCATTAAAGCAGCCCAGTGCGCTCTAACTCACGACCCATCCACACTGGAAAGGCATGTAGAGCGCTCTGACTCCGTGGCTAAAGCGCTCCTGGTACTCCACCTTGGTGAGCGGAATAACGTGTGATGCGTCCCCGCTGGAGCACTGCGGAGCCAATGTGGACGCCCTGGTCTGTTAATGCGCTCTGACCAGTCTCCAGAAGTGTCCCACAATGCCTGTTCTAGCCACTCTGGTCATCAGTTTGAACTCCACTGCCCTGCCCTGAGGTGACCAACCGTCAGACCCGCCCTTTAAATTCTCTGGGAATTTTGAAAATCCCCTTCCTGTTTGCTCAGCCAGGCGTGGAGTGCTCTCAGCGAATCTTTCCAGGTGACCATGCCTCCACGCGCCAGGTCATCCCCAGTATGGAGCAATGGCGAGGTGTTGGACCTCATCAGTGTTTCGGGGGAGGAAGCTGTCCAGTCCTAGCTGCGTTCCAACCGTAGGAATTACGATACCTTCGGGCAGATATCAAGGGACATGATGGAAAGGAGCCATGACTGGGACGCTCTGCAGTGCAGGGTTAAAGTGAAGGAGCTGCGGAATGCCTACCGCAAAGCCCGCAAGGCAAACTGCCGCTCCGGTGCTGCCCCCACGACCTGCCATTTCTACAAAGAGCTGGACGTGATACTTGGCAGTGATCCCCCCTCCACTCCGAGGACCACCATGGACACTTCAGAGCCCAGTCCAACAAGGCAGGAGGAGGAGAAGGAGCAAAGCGGGAGCAAGGGTGCTGAGGAGGAGGAAGACACCCCGGCATCCCTAGATGCATGCAGCCAGGAGCTGTTCTCAAGCCAGGAGGAAGGTAGCCAGTCGCAGTGGCCTGTGCTTGGGGAAGGACAAACACCAGAGGAGGTTCCCGGTAAGCGGCTTTTATTTTGGGAAGAAAGCTATTCAGTGCGGGCTCTTGGGGCGAGGAGGGCTAGGGCTGCATGCATGCCTAGATGCAGAATAGGGCGTTGATGTGCTCTCTCACATCGCGGTAATCGGCCTCAGTGACCTCTTCAAAGGTCTCAGCCAGAACTTGGGCAATGAGCTTGCACAGGTTTCGTGGGAGAGCCACTGTGGTCCTTGTCCCAGTCAGGCTAACATGTCCGCGCCACTGTGCCGTGAGGGGCGGGGTGACCATTGCTGCACACAGGCAAGCTGCATATGGGCCAGGGCAGAAGCTGCAGTGTAGAAGACCCTCCCTTGCTTCCCAGGTCACCCTCAGCATCAAGATATCTTCCAGGACGAACGCCTGTGGAAAATGTGGGGACACTGTTCAGTATAGCGGCCCCCTGCAGTTGTTGGCTCTCCCCAAGGCACAGAAACCCAGACGACAGTGCAGCCATGAATCCCCCTTGACCCTGTGCTTACTCACCATTTTGGGGCTCCAGTGGGTTGTGTGCGCTCGCTTTGGGACGGGCAAATTATGCTATTGTGTAGACTGTGCTTGCTCTCCTTAAGTACGGGGGAATCATTGCTCTGTCTGGTGTGAACAACGCTGCCTCTGTAAAGTGTTGCATTTTGCCTTTACGGATGCAACCTTGAGATCTCAGCCATCCATGTTATCACCAGCTGAGAGGCTGCAAAGAATTAGGAAGAGGCCACATAGAAGCAAAGAGGACATGCTGCATGAAAATCAAAAAGTGCAGGAGTGGCGGGAGAGTGAAAGGAAGGTCCGCCAGCAGAATGCGGATCGCTGGCACCAAAGCACGGAATGGCTGATAAGCATCATGGAGCGCCAAGCGGACTCGATCCAGGCGCTCGTAGCCATGCGGGCGGAGCACTACCACGCCCGACCCCCCTGCAGCGCTTGTCCCAAAACTCTTTCCCTTGTGCCCCCATGTCACCTCCAACCCACTTTCCCCAACATCCGGGTTCTTACTGCCACCAGCTGCCTCCAACACCTGTAGCTTCACCACCTAGCCCTGAAAACTACGACCCTTACCCACTGCACTCAACCCCCATCACCATGCAGTATTACCATCCTGAAGTGCAGCACTCATTGCACAGCACTCCAGACAGGAAGGCTGAGTATGATAACAGGACATACGCAAATCAGTGATTGAACCGTTCCCCACCCCACCTCCTTGCCCTTTCTGTTTCCCAAACAGTTGTGTTTCTTTTCAATAAATGCATTTTCTTTTAAAAAAATGGACTTTTTTGCTTTGAAAACATTCTTTATTATTGCATAAAATAAAAGATACCTTAGCCCAGGAAAGCAACAGGCACTGCAAGTCAGTGTATCATACGTAGCAAACACAGATTCCAACTAACATTGGAACCACTGCACTTCACTCCTGTGCAGGGCACCAGACATTACTGGTGGCTTTCAGCCTCAAATTGCTCCCTCAAAGCATCCCTAATCCTTGCAGCCCGCGCTGGGCCCCTCTAATAGCCCTGCTCTCTGACTGTTCAAATTCAGCCTCCAGGTGTTGAATCTCCGAGTTCCATGCCTGAGTGAATCTTTCACCCTTTCCTTCACAAATGTTATGGAGGGTACAGCACACGTATATAACCGCGGGGATGCTGTTATTGGCCAGGTCCAGCTTCCCATACAGAGAGTGCCAGCGACCCTTTAAATGGCCAAAAGCACACTCCACAGTCATTCTGCACCGGTTCAGCCTGTTGTTGAACTGCTCCTTGCTGCTATGAAGGCTCCCTGTGTAGGGTTGCATGAGCCACGGCATTAAAGGGTAAGCGGGGTCTCCAAGGATCACAATGGGCATTTCGACTTCCCCTACGGTGATCTTCCAATCTGGGAAAAAAGTCCCGGCTTGCAGCTTCCTGAACAGGCCAGTGTTCCGAAAGATGCGTGCGTCATGCACCTTTCCGGGCCAGCCTGTTTTAATGTCAATGAAACGCCCACGGTGATACACAAGTGCCTGGAGAACCACAGAGAAATACCCCTTCCGATTAACGTACTCGGATGCTAGGTGGGGTGGTGCCAGAATAGGAATATGCATCCCATCTATCGCCCCTCCACAGTTAGGGAAATCCATTTGTGCAAAGCCAGCCACAATGTCATGCATGTTACCCAGAGTCACGGTTCTTCTGAGCAGGATGCGATTAATGGCCCTGCAAACTTGCATCAACATGATTCCAATGGTCGACTTCCCCACTCCAAACTGGTTAGCGACCGATCGGTAGCTGTCTGGAGTTGCCAGCTTCCAGATTGCAATAGCCACCCGCTTCTCCACCGGCAGGGCAGCTCTCAATCTCATGTCCTTGCGCCGCAGAGTGGGGGCGAGCTCCTCACATAGTCCCATGAAAGTGGCTTTTCTAATCCGAAAGTTCTGCAGCCACTGCTCGTCATCCCAGACTTAAATGACGATGTGATCCCACCACTCCATGCTTGTTTCCCGAGCCCAAAAGTACCATTCCATGGTGGTGAGCATGTCCGTGAATGCCACAAGCAATCTCATGTCATATGCATTACACGAGTCGATATCATCGACCGAGTCCTCACTGTCACTTTGGATCTTAAGGAATAACTCGACTGCCAAACCTGATGTGCTGGCGAGACTTGTCAGCATATTCCTCAGCAGTTCGGGATCCATTTCCGCAGACCGGAAGGGAAGACAGAGCGCGCAGTACAAAAAAAGTTGAAAGATGGCGCCAATTGTGAACGGAAGCAGAGGGATTGCTGGGATGCGAAGCAATGCATCACAGGGCGTTGGGACAGGACCCAGAATGCCCTGCATCCCCCGGCCCCTTCCCACAAACCACAGCGCCAGAATGGGAAGAGGTGCTCTGTGGGATAGCTGCCCACAATGTACCACTCCCAATGCTGCTGCAAGTGCCGCAAATATGGCCACGCCAGTGCGCTTGCAGCTGTCAGTGTGGACAGACTGCAGCGCTTTCCCTATTGCGCTCTATGAAGGCTGGTTTAACTCAAAGTGCTCTACATTTGCAAGTGTAGCCATGCCCTTAGGCTATGTCTACACTGTGCACCTTACAAGGGCACGGCTGTGCCACTGCAGCTGCACCGTTGTAAGGTGTGCAGTGTGGCCACTCTATCGCCAGGAGAGAGCTCGCCCGGCAACAAAATAAAACCACCTCCAATGAGGGGTGGTAACTTCGTTGCCAGGAGTGTGGCTCCCGACGACCAAGTGCTGTCCGTCGCTAAAACCTTCGTCGTTCGGGGGGGTGAGGGGGGGGAGTTTTTCCACAATGCTGCATGACAAAAGTTTTAGCGACAAAAGTGCCAGTGTAGACAAAGCCTAAAACCTGACAGAAACAAACCATGCTATCCGACTGCATGCTTTTCGGTTAGTTACAATTCCATGACTGACAGCAAGTTACAGATAATCATAGTTTCTGTGAAACTTGTTCATTTGACTGTGCAACCACAAAGACTAACGTGAAGGGGTGGGGAGTTGTCTTAACCAAAGACAATACTACAGATCTAAGCATACTCCCACCATCTGAGTGCCTATACATTATTAATATAAATGACTTCAATTAAAGTAGTTCGATTACATCAGCATGTGCCTACTTAGAAGAGCCCATGGACACTACATAATTTCGTATTGAGAGCTTTATTCTGCATATCTGTACAGTAAATATGAACAACTCAGCTGTGGTTAATATCATCCTATAAAGAAAGAACAGCACCACATGCTGTCAGCTCCACTGAACTACTCAAATATTATTGGGAGCTATTAAGGTGTTGCTTTTGAAATCAAGAGTTTTAAGCAAGTGCATATGATAACAGCATCAAGTCACACTTTCTGCAGTGAGGATGCATCCTCATCCTAATAGAAATACAAATCCAAGGCCTAAAAAAAAAAAAAAAAAAAAATAGGACTATGCTTTAAATAATGTTTAGACTTCAGCACTGCAGTACAATGTAGCTGAAATAGCACAAACAATGCACACCTAGCAATAAAAGAACTGGGATTGTAGGGGTGACTTTCATTGTAGATTTTTGTCACTGTCTTCAAGTACTTTTAGTAAGAGACTCCAAGTCTTGAGTTTATAAAATCTAAAACTCGTGGTGACATATGAGGTTTACCCAGAATATACTTTGTTTTATAAGCAAATGACTCGAAAACAATGGGTTTTAGTACCCATTACAGTAAGAGATAAATGGATTATACATTCATGTGTTGACCTGCAGCTGCTGAATCTGTCAATTCATTAGGAATTTATCCTCATGTTCACTCTGGAAAAAGTGAAATCCTTGTATCACTGTGTAATAGACTGGACCAATAAAACATGTGGATAATTGGCTAGCAGCTCTGCCTCTGAGCTCCCCCATTTTTATCCGAGTGGTTTTATTCCGTAATTTTGTGAACAAAGTAAACAAATTCTGCTTGATGAATGGATTGCAACTGTATACCCAATCACCTACTAGTGACAATGAAATTTAATTATGGGGCACCACTTAATACACTAAAATTAACAGCATGTCTTCATTTCTATCATTGCTCATTTTATAGCTTTAAGCTTGACATAGAAACAACTCTTTTAAATTAAACTTAGTATACAAAATGATCAGCCAGATACCTGTGTGGTGTAAACTTTAAACTCTACCTTGTAGTCAGTGCAGTATTGCTTCCGAGATGCTGTCAGATTGCTTTTGCTGGACCTCCAGTAATAGTATTTTTATGGTATTAAGAACAGTATAAGAAATGCAACTATATCTATATCTCGCCAGCAGTAGTCAAACATAAAAAGTTAACAGTCCTTTCCCTCCCATATCAAAGTACATGCATCACTACACTCTCGGAAGAAAACAATTACACAGTATTCAAATTAAATCAAGTACTTCAGCTAAATCAAAGCAGCGAGTTTATATACATCTGGCAATGCACACGAGCTAATAGTTACAAGAAAAGCTCCTGCGGAAAAGAAGCCCCAATTCCTGGTTATGGTTCTCTGATGGTCAGGCTGGGTTTGTGGCAGCCCTGGTTCCAGTGGAGATTAGAGCAGCCTCAAGGCTACTCTGAACTCGACCAGCAGATAGGAACTTCACAGCCTGTTGCAACCACACCCTCCCTCCATGACAGCCTAACGCTCCCCTTCACCAGGGGCTGCAGGAGGAAGCTTAGGAGTGAGCTATACTGGCTCTATGACCATTGGGATGTTTCCCATGGACTATGGACCCGTAGCTAGAGATGTGGCCGTTTCAACTCTCCTAATGGTTACCAGAGCAGTGCAAAGAGAGCAGAGAGCCAGGATCTGGACCGAAGTTTACTGGGTTGTCTTTAAATTGTGAGGGATAGGTTAGGGCATAAATTTTTATGAATGAGATCAACACCTGATCTGTCTGATACATCATGCTGATTCAGTGTTCAGCACTCACTTATGGTGTTTTGTTTATGTAATCATGAAGACCAAAAGAGTACCATTCTATAGTAAATGATTATGTGCTCCACGTCCCAATGTACAGGCAGAGTGGGTAGCATCGGCTAGTATTAAGGTTGTCTGATAGTTCTATTTTAAGACCCTGTCTTCAGTTGCTTACAACTTTGCTGAACTTTGGCCATTTGGACTGAAATTTTCTGGACTGGGTATCTGCTGCATGCTGGTGGTTTTGTTTTGTTTTAAGTTTTCAGCCAAAACTATTCAGCTGTTCGTGAGAACAAAGTTAGAAGGGGCGGGGAGGAACCATGATTTTGCCCATGCTGAACAGACTCCTTTCTTGAGAAGCTCTAGCACTCCCATACTGTTGAGCAGGGACTTGAAATTTGGCAAGGGGGTGGCCTCTTTGTTGGGGATGTACTTTTTGCCATCTTTGTGAAAATCCACCCACATTTGGCAAAGTTATAAGCCTTTGAAAAATTGTTGTTCACACATGTGCAGTAGAAACTGAGAGTTTAGCATTAAGTTCTCAGGAGATTCCATCCACACGAGGCATACTCCAATCCAGGCCTGAGCAGGACTTTCCCTGGCAACTGCAGTTTGGGCTAAGATGGGCCATACTCGAGTCAGACATTGGAACCGAACAGGAAACCCTTCTCTCCTGCACTGTCAATGACCCCTCTGCTTGCACTACTTAGTGAGGAGCAGGAAGCCATCTGATTTGAACACAGAAGGGACAACAGCCAGACCTAGGGGGGACAGAGGAAACAAGACTAGGAAAAGAAAGAAAAAACCAAGATTGAGTGTGGCGCAGCAGGTGGGAGAGGGGGACTGGGAGTTAAAGGAGGGAGGCGAGGACTGGGTGGACAGAGAGACTAAGATTAGAGTTGGGGAGGGAAAATGAGAGTGGGATAAGGGACTGAAATCAGATGAGATGCTGGGGGGGGGAGGGAGAGAAGAGATGAGACTAGGATTGGCTAGGCAAAGAGACTGACAAAGTGTCAGCAGGATGGGGTTAAGGACAACAGATTGTACAGCTGAGGAAAGAAGAATGGGACTGGGAGCCTTTGTGGTGGGAGAATGTGGGTGGAGGTGACTTGAGACTGGGCAGGAAAGAGAGACTGAACCAAGAACCAGGATGGGAAGATTGGGACTGGGTGGGCAAGGAGAAGAACTGAGATGGGAAGCCTGAGGAGTGGAGACAAACTACCTAGATGAAGAGAATAGGACTGCAATGACAAGC